GGAGGAAATATTTTCACTTTTTCAAATGCATGGATGCTACTTATGAGCCCTGTTGATCTATTGATCTAGATATATCAGTGCATCATTGCAACACTCAAAAAAAAAAAAAAAAAGAAAAAAAAGAGAGCATATTCATAATATCCACATGTTTATTATAATTACCTTGCCAACAGCTCCGATAACTATGGTCGCATCAGAGCATCCATAGATGGTCGCATATCTCAAAGGTGCTAAAATGTAAATAACACATTCATGGCAATTGAGGACCTACAAATATGAGAACAATCTGTTAAAAGTAAGGCAGGAGCTTGCAGTAATATCCACAAAGCACGAGAGATAACATGGTTAAAATTAATTAAAATGAAACACATGGAAAGGTTACTCTTCAAGATAACATGTAATGTTAGGATTTTGTTTCAGATAAGTGAGGTCAAAGTATATGCAATTAACCTAACCTTCATTGAAGATCCTTTAACATCAGGTGCTTGCTTTAAATATGCTGATTTAGAAATTCCCTCAATATAACTTGGACCCCTAGCACTGGCTGAGGCCTTGGTCAAACTTGCACAGGCATCAGTCATTGGAACATCCTGATCAGAGGTACCTGATGGCCCATTTTCTTTCCCAGAAACTCTTTCAGATATACGTTCCAAAGCAGAAGTTATGTTCTGAAGAAGCCAATCATGAACTTGTGCAGCAGGAACAGGAACAGCAGGCATGTCGGGATCTGAATTTGCAAAAAATGGAGCAGCCTGTCTCAAAGGAGTTCTTTCAGATCCTCTTTCACCAAAATAGATCAGAAACTCGAGGTGCTCAAACTTTTCCATAGTCAAAACCTGGTACCATTGGCCATAAATTAGCTTCTTAAAGGAAGCTTGAAAGACTATCAAAACATAATTTTCAAAAACAAACCGCAAATCCACGTAAACAAATAGAGATAGTGACTGAAAGTAAATTTTATGAATCAAGACAATGTACTTTTTTTAACATAACACGACCAGTAAGTTTATCTTTTCAGTGTCCATACTTGATTATCTAATACAGTAAAATTTAGCATGGTGGAAGAGAAGAGAAAGGAAAGGAGGATTTTTTATTGGGTGAGTTCAAAGAAAAAGAACCGGAAATTCCCTCTGCCCCTACCGTACTCCAGCCAAGCTAAAATCCCTTCACTTAAGAAGTGAAGCCCACTTCGCGTTCCCATAAGGGGAAAGAATGAAAGAGAAATAATTGTTTTCTTTTGTTTGGTTAAAAAGAAATTTGAGAGAAAATTTAGATAGATAGAGAAAGGGGGGGAAGAAAAAATAAGAAGGGTGAGGAGAAAAGGAAGGGAAGGGAATTTAAAATTTATGCTCCTTCTTTGGTAGTAAGGGAAAAGAGAAGAAAAACAAACGAAAGGAACAAAAGGAAAGTTATCATTAGACATACAAAGTATGAATGGAATCAGAGAATAATGTTGCAGCTAAGGTTATGTTTTCCTTTTCTTTCAGATCTATTAAAACCAATTTCTCATTGTGTAGACTGTAAGCAAATGGTATTCTACCCAAATAAACTAAGGAAAATAAATATAACAGAAGCAGGAATTTACAAACCAGAGATTCTTCGCCTTCCCCTCCCAAAGACTCTGATACAAGAGAGAGAATGTTGGCCAAGTGCTTCTGCAAATAGGATAATTGATGAGCCTCTTCATCAGCCTGGGAAGGCATAAACCGACGGCTGTTGCTCCGCACAAGCTGCACTTAAATGAACACCAAGCTTATAGGTAAGATAAGTATCTAATTCTCACTATATACTGAACCCTATAAGGCCAGGCCAAATAAAAATTATAACTAAATATTGTTGCAGGTGAACAAATAAAATGCTACCATCAATTTCACCAAACTCCAAACGAAACGGGAAAAAAAAAAAATGAACAAAAACAAGCTATATAGCCCGAACAAAATATGGTAGTCTCATCCCCAATGATTTTTCCCCTGGCACATAATTCCAATAATGCTCTTAGAGAAGCTTGAACATTCTCACCTTCCGCTTTGAAAAGAGAGGAGATGCCCTTAGGTCAATGCCTTGGTGGGTATTGATTTTTTGCCTTTTTTTGTGTTTGAAATTATATATTCTTGCAGTAAGGGGTATAATATGTTTTGTAGCTAATCAGATGATACCATCAATTAGACCAAACTCAAAAGCAATGAACAAAGACAAGCTATCTGACCAGAACAGAATAAAAAAACTCTATCTCCACTGATTGGGTGGCCAGATAAATTGGATTTTTCCCAAATTGTTGTGTCTAAGCCAAAATATAAATAAATAATCGTGCATTATAGTCCATTCAGCACCCATTAAGAGGAAAGAGAAAATAAAAACTGGCATGTTAGCTCGAACGTGGACTGAGAATTAAAGATTAACAGACAGACATTCACAGCATTCTCAAAAACACTTTTTTCCTTTTTTTGACAAGTAAGAATTCATTAGCCCTCAAAAACAACATTCATATAAGATAAACAGTAACTTTTTCATATTAAAGGTAAGCCAATTACCCTCTTCAAAGTCTCAACGGTTCATTCTGAAATACATGAAATCTTCTGAATTCCAAGTCCAATGCAGAAAATAAATCATGCAACCCCTTTTGGGAGCACATTTCTCCCTTCCAAATTATCAATAAAACGCTGATAATCAATCAACATTTCAAGATTTCAGGATGCATAAAAAATAAACGTGCAAATCCATATATGAAATGTTTTCCAATTGCCATGAATTTATAAATACAACAATTGCTTCCTAATGGCCACTCTAATGCAACTACATTCAGTAAGAACCACTAATTTGAAATGAGTAGTGATACTCAGCCGAAGAGTTGCACTGAATTGCCTAACCGAATAGTTTTGATTGGTTATTTATGCAAAATACAAGCAAGTGGAGGGTCTCACTCCCTTATTTCTTACATAGATGATCAATTAAAAAGAGTCACTGCAACTACTCGGTGTAAAAATCATTTTCCATTAGAAATTGCAAAGACCGCATACATTCTATAAAAGTGCCAGACCAAGAAAAACAATTAATCAACCCCAAAACAACAGATTTAAAAAAAAAAAAAAAACCTTTTCACGTTGCTACAAACCCACTTTGAAACACATCAATTCCTTCCCAAAATACATTCCAATACAGACTATTAACCAAAATCTCACCAACATTTTCAATGTATCCAACAAGTAAACATAATTGCTCACCTGCAACGGCGATAACGCCGATAAATATCCATCGAACGCCGAAGTCGACGGCCAGACATCGGCCACCGAAGCCGCGTCCTTGTGCGCCCTAGGAAGCAACCGCTTATACGACTGTACGTATAGAAACAATATCAGATCACACACGTCAACACCGACAGTATCGATCTCGGAGGGCTTGGCGGTGACGAGCGGGTCGGAATCGGAGTGGAGGACAGAGGCGAGCGCGTCGAGGAAGAGGCGAGCGTGGTCAAGCGAGATCTGGAGGGTTTCGGAGATGGCGAGCAAGTCGACTCGATGAGTGGGGGACTGAGTGGATCGCTGGACGAGTTGATCCTTGATTGAGGCCAGTGTTTGTGTGCCATCGGTGAATATGAGCTTTTGAATGGGTATGAGTCCATGCTCGAATGGCTCTCGTCTTGGATGTATATACACTGTTTCTCTTGTACTTGTTGTTGATGATGCTGAAGAAGCTTCGATACAATCAGTCATCTCTTGAGACAGAAATAGAGGGAAGGGAAGGGAAGGGAAGTAAAAATGAGTGTAACAGATCTTCAAAGAAATGAATAATGAGAGAGAAGGGAGTTCAGGGGTAATATCGTAATAGTGGTTTTAAAACTGAAAATTAAGAGTGTAATGACTATTATTGGGACATTACCAGTAACTTTAGTTGGTAAAGCATCCTCTTTTTCGACCGAACGGGTTTGCCCAGCCTCTCCTATGAATAGGGTTTTCCGAAAAAACCTGCTAGTGGAGGAAGACCTCTGGGGATAAGAGACATATGACTGAAGAGAGCCAAAAAAGGATCCCTGATATAAAAATGCGAGCAACGATGATGTTTTCTTTTCTTCCCTTCCTTTAAACCAAAAGGTCTATCCTACCCCTAGATAGAAAATTGTAAGTGAGGAGAATGTTTCATTTGTTCTTTCTTTTCTTTCCTTCCTTTAAACCAATGGAGAAAAGCCTAGACACTTGATTTGTAATTTTAAAAATAAATTTCTATTTTTAAAAAATTAAAAACTAAAAAATGTAAAAAAAAAAACTTGTTTGATTTATAATTATGAAAACAGTTTTCTATTCTCGAAAAATTAAAAACAGAAAATTGAACAAAAAATTCTGTTTGGTTTAATTTTCTAAAAACTCAGTTATAAAAATATTTATTTTCATAAAACAATCTTTTATAGTTCTCTGAAAACTGTTTTCAGAGTTATAAGGAAATTTCTTGTTGAGTTTACTTAAAAACTAATAAACCTCATTTCCAATAAATCATATCTTCTACCAAGACATTCATCGAGGAAGCAGAAGCTCTTTTGAAATAAGCTATTCGGGAACAGATAGAACGTTTTATGCTTCGGGAACAAGCATAAAGTAATCAAGTGTCTCTGATTCAAATCCTTCAAAACGTTTTTCGTGACATAGAAATCTAAAAAAATAAAATAAAAAATTTGCGTCCAATAGGATTTGAACATATACCAAAGATTTAGAAGGCCTCGGTTATATCCATTAGACAAAGGACATAAGCATGCCCTCTGCTTGGTTTAGTTTTTTTAAAACTCAATTATAAAAAAATTTGTTTTCAAATAACTGCATTTTTATTATTTACTGAAAATAGTGTTTTGTTCTCTAAATTTTTTAAAATTATTTTTAGAATTACAAACCAAACAAATTCTTAGAGTATTATTTGTTTGTAATTCTGATAACAAATTTATCCCATCTCTTTCATTTGTGTCAATTCTTTCTTACACTTCTCTCTTTCATCAATCTTCAGTCTTTTCTTCCGACTAAAGATAAGCATAACTACCAACAAAATGTTATTTTGAGAAACAATATAATCATTTCATCAATAAAAGCATCTTAATAATATTTATTATGCCTAAACAATTTTTACCTAAAATAAAGGACGCGATAAAAAGTTACATAAGTTTCTCAAGAAATCAAAATCCTTTTGTATTTTTTCCTAAAAATTTTATGAACAAATAGGGGAAAGTTAATTTCCTTCACACAAATTGTAAAAATTTATGTTAAAAGAAGAAAAACCATTTATTTTCTTTTCGCATTATTTCTATTTAAACTAACAAACTCATTTATAATTGTATATCCAAATTTGAGAAATCAAAATAAACCATGGGCATAAATTTTAACTTATATTAATCATGTTATAATCAGGTTAATCTATTTAATTCGTTAAAATAAAAAAAATAAGTTGTGGTTGAATATGCAAATTCAACCCATTTAATTTATTTGATACAGTATTTATGTTTAAATTAGATTAATTAGCATATATGCAGTTAAAAATAATGAATTATAAAGTATTAATATCTGCTCCAGCAACAACATTCACTATTTGTCGTTTGAGGGCTGCTAAACATAGTCGCAGCTCATTTTGGATAGTTTTAAATGTATTTGACTTTCTCACTTTTTATAGTTGTTTCAATTTATGTGTTTACAACCAACGTGTTGGTTTTCCACTTTTTTTTTAGTGATTCTTCATTAACCGCAGTTTTTTCCACTATCTTTTTCTCGTTACTTTACTGATTAAAAAGCTTTTAGACTCTGTTTGAGGCCTCAAAGCCGCCCATATTATTGATCCACCAGTGAAAAAAAAAAAAAAAAGTGTAATACTAACATAAAGTATACACAAAATTCATGATACTAACAAAAGATAAGGTGGATAAAAAAAGTAAAACAACATTAATAAAAATACTAACAATGCAATACATGCTCAAAAACCTTTTTTTTTTTTTTGTTAAAAATAAATAAATAAATAAAAGTCTAAAAGCGTTATAGTTTGTAGGGTAATGAGAGAGATAGTAGAAAAAACAAAGGTTAAAGAATAGTCACTAAAAAGTGAAAAACCAACACGTTGGTTGTAAACACGTGACTTGAAATAACTGTTAAAGTGACGAAATCAAATTCATTTAAAACTATCTAATAAGACTTGTCATTGCGAGTCGCAAGTGCACCATGTTTAACAGTTCTTTTATTTTGTATATTATAATAAAGAAAATGTTAAACAAACTATGACATACCATGCCATCTTAATAAGATGTGCAGTACATAATGAGCTGAAATCATAATAAATAAATAAATAAAACCCCTCTTATTTTCAAAAATTATCAACTAACTTCCTCAATTAAATAAATTATTATATTACCTGAATGTTTTAAGAAGTCTATCATATTACCTCCTTCCTGTCAATTTTTCATCTAAAACTAATGGAATTATATCACGTGACAATCACGTGCAACAGTTTTGACCAAAATAACCTTATAATTCGTAATGATGAAATTGTCATTTCCACACTATAAGCTTAGTTTAATAAAATATTAATATATTATCAAAGGTATTATTGTTATTTCGCAATAATTTAACATTCTGTCACGGAAATGAGGCAATGTGATAATTTTTGCTAATGTGGTAATTTTTTTTTTATATAAAATAGGGGATAATACGATGTTTAAAAAAATAAGAGGAGGCTTTTATAATTTTAGCCCCAGGTGAATTGATGCTTAATAAAAGGCGGTTAATACTTTGAGATTAGACCTCCTTACTACTCGTCTGCCATAACAGCGAAAGGACCCAGGTGGGACACAACCCTATTCTTCTTCGGCCCTAGCATAAGTACTAGCATGGCATCAGATCTAAAGACTAAACCTAACCCTATTCCACTTGTAATGGATCGAGTAAATTTTACATACAATGTCGTAGAGGGATAGAAGATTCTAAAAATTAAATAATTTGCAAGGATTGCAGAAGATTTTAGAATAATAAAGAGTTGATAAATCTATAAATATTCAGGTAGAAAATTATAAAAAACTATTTATTAGGAAAAAGATGCCTATATATAAAGGTAGACTTATATTGTATACCTAAAAAATCAAAGAAAGATTTTACTTTATTTTAAAAAAAAAAAAGTGTTGGTAGAGGGATAATTTTATCGCGAAATTACTAATTAGGATATTGGTTTAAACTTTTTAAGTATATGTATGGACACAGAAAAAGAGATAAAAAAAAGTGAAGAAAAAAAGAAAACAAAAGAAAACGGCACCGTCTTGGACTACTTCATCTGCTTTGGATACTTTCCTATATGTAGTGTTTGAGGTATGGGTCCAACAAAAGCAAAAGAATATCTGACCACTTGACTTGGACAACCAACCATTACAAAACCTTTTGTCCTATTTGGGAAGTGAGAACACTAAATCTATCAGTAAGTTTATAAACTTATTTATGCTACCAAGTTGGATGGACACGTGTAACTTCATGAACGACCCATCACTGTTACATGTAATAATAAGTTCGTGAATTCGTGGTTCATATGAGTTTAAATTCGTGAATTTGTGGTTTGTACGAGTTATATTCACCGTTTGGTACTGAAAAATACTATCTACCAACCGGTTACTCCTTTGCATTGAAATATTCATGAAATACCACTGATATTAAGGCAAGCTAACACCAAATTTGTTAATTAATAGTGAAAAAATAAATTAAAAAATTCTGAAGGTAATATTATAACGAACTAGAGGGTGAGATTTGTTGAAAATGAAATTGTATAATTCAAGCCAAATATATATACATGTAGTTGAGAGTATTATGCATGTCACCCCTCTCTCTCTCTCTATATATTAACTAGATTTGGTTGATAACGACCTAATATACATGTATGTGATACACTTATTTTTTTATTTTTTATTTCCTAAACTAATTAGGTTTGATTGATATCAACACGATATGTGGTGTATATATAACTCTCTCTTAATATATAAACCTATAAAGATGTAACATAAGAACATAATTTGCATATGTCATTTTGAATGCGACTAGAGTTTATAATTTCAATTATGGACACGAGAGTTTTAATTTAAATAAAATTTAGACAAAAATTATATTTTAAAAACATTGTAGTGACTTATAGCAGCACTTTATTACCTTACAATTATGATGATTAATTATATAAGAATCTTTTTAATAATTTTGATCCCTAATTAAGTAATTATATACCATAACGCTCAAAAATAAATGTACCTCTTTTATTTCAAAAGTCAATATAAAATTTACGTTTTTATTTAATTATCCTAAAACTTTGAAAAAATTTAACGCTTTATCTTTTATGAGTAATTTTAGTAATTTAAAAGAGAGGTGCAGACATTTTTTCTACAAGATTCAGTCAAGAAACATAATATATAATGTATAGTATACAATACTCCGTAAATATATATGACAATGTGACATGCCTTGAATGGAACCTGCTGGCATGTCTATTGTGTAGACTGGTGTTTTAAGGTCAAATCCGTAATTTGGTGAGGTGTGATGTGTCAGGGATGGCTGTCCACCGAAACAAGTCAGGTGTGGTTTTGATGTTTAGCCCTAGAATCACGCTCTCGGCACGTGTGTACTTCCGACCACAGTCCCTCGCACGCGTGAGTCAAGCCAACAAAAACAATTCTGAAAAAGCGCAATGGGAGAGATAAACATTAGTGATTAGACACAGCACAGCATCACGTACTAGCATAGTGTAGAAATATAGTAGTATTTGCAAACAGGTTCGGTGTGTATTCTCACAGATTCATCACATTCCCACCACACCACCCCACCCTCCTTTTTCTCTCTCTAAAACCCCACCCCTGACCTCTCTATCTCTCTCTGTATTTGCCCTGCTTTTACCCTTTTTTCTCTCTCTAGTTTTCACTCTCTTAATCTCAGCTCTTCATTTTGATCCCAAAAGCAACACGCTCCATTGCTGCAATTCTTCGAACCTTATCAGAAATCCATCTACAGCTTCTATGGATCTCCTCGAATCTTCACTAATCTGCAAGGTATTTGTTTTTCTCTCTTTCTGCATATATATATGTATATACACACATATATGTATCTATATGGATGTGTTTTATTTGTTATTTATGTATAACTAGAACCGGACACATCTTTCATTTTCTTTTAGGTATTTGAGATAATCGTGGTACATTTTGGTTTAAATAAATTTATTCATGTTTTTAGGCTACTAGTTAAAAGCTTTGTTTGATTGTGATTTTATTTAACCATTGCTTAGATTTTTAATTTCTATGCTTCTCATTTTCTCTGTTTTCCGAAGATTTTTCAAATGCTAATGTCTTTCTATCTCTCATTTTTTTTTTTTTTTTTTGGGAATTTCAAAGTATTTTCTTTTTTAAAATGGTAGGTCATTATCAAGTTTGTGCTGTCTACCTTTTTTAAGGTGTTGGTTGTTGTATATGTTATTTTTACAGGCCTTAAACATTCAGATCTGAAGCTTTGTGAGGAGCTCTTTGGTTTTTCTGATGATGGTTCATGAGGTTATTTTTCATTTTTGATGCTTGTTTTACCAGAGATCTAGGGTTTTACGTAACTGCGTTTTGCTTGCATTTCTTGTCGTTTAAAGTTCCCAAGCTCCTCTTATTCAGACTTTACCTTTTTTTTCTCCGAGTTTATTATTTGCCGTTAATATATCCTTGTTTTGCTTTGAAATTTTCCTATTTCTTAGGTAAATGAACTTATTGTTGAAAGTAACGGCTAAGTTGGAGTTATAATCCGATCTCTAAGGGTTTTGGGAACTTTTCATTTTGAAACGTCTGTTCTTGACCCGTCATTTCAAGTTCAGCTTCTCTATTTGGGGTTGGTGTCTGTTGGAAAACCCAGAAAATGCAGAGACCTCCGCAGGAAGATTTCTCCCTTAAGGAGACCAACCCCCACCTCGGCGGCGGGAAGGTCACCGGCGATAAGCTCACAAGCACCTATGACCTTGTCGAGCAAATGCAATACCTCTATGTTCGGGTTGTAAAAGCAAAGGAATTGCCTGCGAAGGATGTTACTGGTAGTTGTGACCCTTATGTTGAGGTTAGGCTCGGAAACTATAAGGGTACAACCCGTCATTTTGAGAAAAAATCGAACCCTGAATGGAACCAGGTGTTTGCTTTCTCCAAAGATCGGATTCAAGCTTCAGTGCTTGAGGTTACTGTCAAGGATAAAGATGTTGTGAAGGATGATTTTATGGGTCGGGTTTTGTTTGATCTTAACGAGATCCCGAAACGTGTTCCGCCTGATAGTCCTCTGGCACCGCAGTGGTATAGATTGGAAGACAGGAAGAATGATAAGGTTAAAGGAGAGCTGATGCTGGCAGTCTGGATGGGTACTCAAGCAGATGAAGCGTTTCCTGAAGCGTGGCATTCTGATGCTGCGACTGTTAGTGGAGCTGACGGTCTTGCAAACATCCGGTCGAAGGTGTATCTGTCGCCAAAGCTTTGGTATCTCAGAGTTAATGTGATTGAAGCTCAGGATTTGCAACCAAGTAATATGAATAAGTTCCCAGAAGTTTTTGTGAAGGCTATCCTTGGCAATCAGGCTTTGAGAACTCGAATTTCAATGAGCAAGACCATCAATCCGATGTGGAATGAGGATTTGATGTTCGTAGCTGCAGAACCATTCGAAGAGCCCTTGATTTTGAGTGTGGAAGACAGAGTTGCACCCAACAAAGACGAAGTTTTGGGGAGGTGTATAATTCCTCTACAGTATTTGGACAGGAGGTTAGATCATAAAGGTGTGAACAGTAGGTGGTTCAATCTTGAGAAACATGTTGTGGTGGAGGGGGAAAAGAAGAAGGAAGTCAAATTTGCTAGTAGGATTCATATGAGGATTTGCTTGGAAGGTGGTTATCATGTTCTGGATGAATCAACCCACTACAGTAGTGATCTTAGACCAACAGCAAAGCAGTTATGGAAGTCCAGCATTGGGGTTTTGGAATTGGGGATCTTGAATGCTCACGGGTTGTCACCAATGAAGACCAAAGACGGGCGAGCAACGACCGATGCTTATTGTGTGGCCAAATACGGGCAGAAGTGGGTCCGGACAAGGACAATTATAGATAGCTTTGCTCCAAAGTGGAATGAGCAATATACTTGGGAGGTTTTTGATCCGTGTACTGTTATAACCATTGGGGTGTTTGATAACTGTCATCTGCATGGAGGTGAAAAAGCTGGAGGGACAAGGGATTCAAGGATTGGAAAGGTCAGGATTCGTCTTTCTACCCTTGAAACTGACCGTGTTTACACTCATTCTTATCCACTTTTGGTTTTGCATCCAACTGGAGTGAAGAAAATGGGTGAAATCCATTTAGCTGTGAGGTTTACTTGCTCATCTTTGCTTAATATGATGCATATGTACTCACAACCACTGTTGCCAAAAATGCATTATCTTCATCCATTAACGGTCAGCCAACTTGAGAGCTTGAGGCACCAGGCGACTCAAATTGTTTCAATGCGGTTGAGTCGTGCTGAGCCGCCATTGAGAAAAGAGGTGGTTGAGTATATGCTGGACGTGAGTTCCCACATGTGGAGTATGAGAAGAAGCAAAGCCAATTTTTTTAGAATTATGGGTGTTTTGAGTGGGTTAATCGCTGTTGGGAAATGGTTTGATCAGATATGCAATTGGAAGAATCCCATTACCACAGTTCTGATACACATCCTGTTCTTAATACTGGTTTTGTATCCAGAGCTTATTTTACCCACCATTTTCCTCTATCTTTTCTTGATTGGAGTTTGGTACTACAGGTGGAGGCCAAGGCATCCTCCCCATATGGACACTCGTCTCTCTTGTGCAGATAATGCACATCCTGATGAACTGGATGAAGAATTTGATACATTCCCCACTTCCCGACCTGCTGATATTGTGAGGATGAGATATGATCGTTTGAGAAGCATTGCCGGGAGGATTCAGACGGTGGTTGGAGACCTGGCGACTCAAGGGGAAAGGCTGCAGTCTTTGCTGAGCTGGAGAGATCCTAGAGCTACAGCCCTGTTTGTGATTTTCTGTTTGGTTGCTGCAATCGTTCTGTATGTTACACCATTCCAAGTTGTGGCCCTTCTAACAGGATTTTACGTGTTAAGACATCCAAGGTTTCGCCATAAGCTTCCTTCAGTGCCCCTCAATTTCTTCCGGAGGTTGCCGGCTAGAACTGATTGCATGTTATGAACCAAGCCACAGTTTCAGCTGCAATGCCTTGGAAGCAGTTTTCCATTGGATTTGTCCCCTTTGTCTTTTCAGTATGTGGAGAAGCTTTGGAAACAACGGAGCTTGTTTATTGTTCTTTCTGTCACCTAGAGGTGAATTCAGTGCCTGGTACGGTGTCTAAACCTCTGCCCTGAAACTAGTAGATTTTGTGGATTTGTAATTCGACTTTTATGTCATTTATAGGATTTAAGTTTTTCAAACTTAAATCTATGGTAATCGGTCCATGTTGATTTATAATTTTGAAGGGTTGTGATTTGATTTAAATCTGTTTTAGGTGATTAATCTCTTTGTTTAATTCAAATTAGTATGTTTCTCTAATGGGTTGGATCTGTTGTGATTGTTATTGGGGTATATTTTGATTGCAGTTTAGTATTTTATTATTCCCTTTTCCAATGTTGTTGCACAACAGTTAAATAACAACATTTATTTTGGTGAGCAAACAACATATTTTCTATACTACCATGATTTCTTGCTAGTTTGGTAATAATCAAAAGTCAAAATGCTTTGACGTATTATTTATCAGTTTGGTGGATTAGACATTCATGATAGCGCTTCGTTAATGTTAATGCTAATGACAATGACATTAGTTTGTATTTTATTGTCTGCATTGGCTTATCCTTTTTAAGGTTTGATGTCACAACTTATGTTGTTTTACTTGGTTAAGGGTCGGCATATAGGCAACCACCAGAGAATGCTGGGTGCAAAGTGCTTGTTCAAAGTATTTGATAACTAATTATTAGTGTGTTAATAAGATTTGATAATGGAGTAAGCTGTTTCTGAAATTCATATCATTATTGTAATAAATATCATTATTTAATTTGTATCAGCATCATTATTTTTCGATAACGAATCAATCTGCAAGCACTCTTCTTCTTCTTATTTTTATTTGAAGTGTTGTTTTCATCTCTACTTTATTTAGTTACTTTTCTTTTGGGGGTACTGAAGGCCAATAATGTACCCCTTGTGGGAGTGAGTGGTTTTCCCAATAGAATATCTTTCATTGAAGTTACAAAATTGCCCTTGTTAATGTTAGCTTAACAACATTCTCGGTTTTTTCAACTGGTCAGTTTGACCGTGTCTAGATGGTAAATGTCTAGCCGGGTAAGCCGCTTGTGGAGGAGGTGTACCCTATGCTTTACAGCTGTAACCAAGCTTTTAGAGAATTTCTCTCTCACACACACACACACAAAGAGGCACAATAGAAAAAAAGGGGAAACAAAAAGACGAAAAAGGGCCTCCAGTGGGTTTGCTGGAAAAAATTCAGGAGGAAAATGTGGGAGGAAAGTGAAAGATGTCGGTGGAGTTGAAGAGGATGAAAGGAAAGGGGAGAGGAGGAGATTTTACGATATTTTTTTGTACAGTAGTTGATAATGAGGGGAATGTGGTATCTTTTAGGTAGTTATTAGAAACCTGTGAATGAAAGTCTTACTGACCAAGACTTATTGGGCACATGTAGTATATTAGTCCAATAACCACTCATCATGTGTTCTATTAGTAACTCATCATTGTTCTATTGATAATATAAAGTTAGCAGCAACTTGTAAGAGATTGGCAGGTTACTTCCTGATCAGACCTAATAAGCCTAAGGTGGGATAAGAGCAACCCCAGCGCAAGGCAAATGTGTACTATATCTGATTTGAACGAAAGCCTTTAGTATACACATTACCCACAAGTGGCCCCACGTCATATTGCACACTCCACAATGAGGAATGGAGTAGCCCTGGAGCTGTGGGCCATTGATTGTGTGTGATAATGATATAAAATAAAAAAGTAATATTGTTGATGGTGCGTAAAATAATTATTGTAGGTGTCTTGTACTAATTAATTAGTGTAAAGATAATTATAATTTAATTAATTAAAAAATAGTCATTTTTCCTAAATAAATAAAAATTGCATAAGAATTTAATTAATTATTTTTTGTGTATTGTATTAATTAATTAATGTAAAGATAATCATAATTTAATTAATTAAAAAAGAGTCATTTTTACTAAATAAATAAAAATTGCATAAGAATTTAATTAATTATTATTTTAAAAAAAATTGTACTTTTTGACTTATCAATTTAATTTATTTATTTATTACATAATAATTTAATTAATTTGCATAATAATATAAAAAATAATATTTTATTCGATTAATAAATTTAAACATGTTCATTACGTAATGATTTAATTAATTCACATAATAATATAAAAATTACATTTTATTCGATTATGTCAAATTTAAACATCTTCATCACCAAATTGATTCCACAAATATTCCATCAAATCTTTCTTAAGATTAGCATTATCTGTTCTATTGTGAATCCTTCTAAAGCGACCGAAAATGTGTGCCGTCAACATTGTTGTGTTATACAAGAAGGGGCAATTAATTGTAATGTTATTTATTTATTTTATTTTTTTTGAGTTGTATTGTTTTTTTTTTTTTATTGGTAGGAAATTTTGTAATGCATTTTTTCTTTTATATATGTAATATTATTGTTTTTTAACATTATTATTTTTTAAAAATCTTTTATCTAAACATATAATCGGAGCAAACAACTATTGCCGTTAGCATTGTAATTGTTGAGAATAAACCGTTGGAAAAAAAAAAAAAAATCAATTAAAAAAAATATTTTATTTTTTTAAAAATAATAATATAATAAAGTGTAGAATGAAAAAATGGGTGCACAACTTGGAGTCTCCAAAATAAGTATAGAACCAATTGGTGATATGACTGTACACTTTAGATAAAGTATATAATGAAAAAGAAGGCCTGGGGATGTTCTAGCACCCAACCTGTATATATATTCAATCACTGTTTCACCCAGATTTGATGTGGGACAAGCTTTTCCTGTTATATTCTCCTCCATCTGAATGTAATGTTATCGTTACGGTTGGACCATCCTACCTATCCGGATGCACCTCTGATCGGGTACTTAACGTGAAATAAGTGTGTAAATTTCTTGTCAATGAAAAATAAAAAATAAAAAATAAAAAAATAATAATCCATGAGTTTGTTATTATATGTAAAGGTGTAACTGCAAAATAACATAAGAGGGTGCTTTTTTCTTCATCCCCTCCTCTTGCTCAATTAAATGAAGAGGAAATAAAATTATTTTTCTTGGGGCAATCTCCCTCTATTCTGACTCTATTTGGTTTCTTTTCCGTTTCAACTCCCAGTCTAATGGAGTTTGTTTTAGCACTCTTTTCAAAGTGGCACCAAAGTACATGTGCAACTTGAGAGTGACACTCATTTAAAAAAATTGTAAAAATTGTGTGACATAGATCATGGTGGGAGCGTGAGACAAAATTTAAGGTTGTGTGGGTGTGTGAAAGTGAAATTAACAAAATTTTAGGTTGTATTTGTGGGTGGTCAGAACCGAATATCTTGCCGTGTTCTTATGCTATGAGGGCATTTTAAGTCTGGCTGTGGACCTATGTCAGGCCAGATCAAATCTAGCTAAGCCCAATGTAAGGTAATAAATACAAATTGCATTTCATATGTGAGGCATTTTATTAATGTAAATAATTTTTATTTTTATTTTTAAAATTGACCGTAATGTAAATAATTCAAAAATACCTATTTCATGAGAATGTTTGGCTATGCTGTACTTACCAAATAATTTATGTAAGAAATTAAATGTCATTTTGTTGTCTTATTTTAGGCAAAGGATCGAGGGCCTGTTGGCTGGTTCGACTTTTTAATGATTGAACAGTAGTGCCATTGATGTGAGTTTGAGTCACACAGGAGTTACTTTTAGCTATGAGTTCGGGTCTCGGAGTAGTTACTTTATCAAATATCTATACTTAACATCTCTCACAGGTAGGGGTGACAATTGGGTGAGTTTTGAGTTGTGTATGAATGGGTCAATAGCACATTCTCATCCGTTAATGGTAGATCATAAATGGGATAATGGCTCAAATGGGCGGGTCAAAACGAGGTAGGGGTGACAATTGGGTGGGTTTTGGGTTGGGTTTGATATTGAAAAAGCAAATTCAAAATGACAAACAAGGTTCCTTCTTTTTTTTTTTTTTTTTTTTTTTTTTTTTTTTTTTTTTTTTTCAAATAAGATATCATTGACTACCATATTAAATTGAAAAACTAAAATCAAAACCTTGTACTTTAAAAAAAATAACTAATAATAATAATAAAAGCAAATTTTTTTTTTTTTCGATAAGTAAGTGAGTAAAAGAAATAGAAATAGGAGAACTGTAAATGCATACCCAGGGTCAAAACAAAATAAAATCAAGCCTAATGGATAGGGCAACAAAAACAGCCCAGGGAAAGGAAAAAAACAAAAAAAACAGAGAAGATAGAGAAAGGAAAGAGAGAGAAATTTGGAGGAGTGAATTTTAATTTTTCTATATAAAATCATAAATAATAACCATAGTATCACCCCATCTTCCTATATAATTAACTCCCAACCCAATTACAATGACAGTATTCTCTGAGCAATTGATTTGCAATAATTCTATATTTTAGGAAGGGACAAAATTTAATAATAATAATAAAAAAAAAATTGTGCCAAATTTTTTTTTTTTTTTTCTTAAAGTTAAAGCAGTGCCAAATTTGTGAGGGAGAGACCAATTTAACGGTAACTATGTCGGCCATTGAAATTACTTTTCAAAAAGAAAAAAAAAAGAAAATAGAAAAAAAAGAGATGAAATTACTTTCTCTCTCTAAAATTATTTAGAGAGCAAACAAAAGAGATAAAAAAAAACTTCCCAAAAAACCAAGAGAGAGAAACAGAGAAGATAAAAAAAAAGAGGGAAGAGAAGAGAAAACAGAGGAGAGAGAAATGGAGGAAAAAAATGAAAAAGAAAAAAAGGAGAGAGAGAGAGAGAGAGAAAAATGGAGGAGAGAAAAATGATTTTGTTTGAGTGGGTTGAGATGGGCACCCACTATTCAACCATTATTTAGATTATTTGATAATCTAAATAATTTAATTTTAATAGACTTATTTAGACAATTTGATAGGTTTGGGTATAAATCGCCACCCTTACCCACAGTTTCAGTCAAAGCATCAGAGGCTTAAAGTCAGGCCGAACAAGGTGAAATTAATAATTTTGACTTCTAAGCCCAATAGTTGGGCTTAGTTTGGGCTGTACCTTTACCCCAGTAAAATATTTTCGTTGGACTGGCATTTGCGCAGCCTCCCTCACGATTTGCGACTTTTATTTTATTTTATTTTGAGTTTAATCTTTTTATTTATTTATTTTTCTATGTATTTATATTTTTTTTATTTGGGACAAAACAACTTACACTAGAATTTGAACTCTAAG